CTGGGCGCAAGAGGCGAAAGGTCGGTGCAGGGAAATGGGAGGGAAGGCAGCCAGGTGAACGAATGAAAGGGAGCGAAGGGGTGATGGAAGAGAAGGAAAGTAGTGAAAGCAACAAGAGTTGTAACAGAATTTCAGGAAAAGAAAATATTAATTCTGTATCTAAGGAATGAATGTCAGAAAGTGTAGTGCATGCTTGTTGATTTGGAAAAAAAAAGGCTAGGATGAAAATAGGGTTGGATTATGAAGTAATTTGGACAAATTTGAAGTTGAGGGGGTTGCTGTATGCGATGAGCGGTGAAAATAAAACATGCATAAAAATATATAGCATGATTAGCAAATGCATCAACTTCTGCTAGCTATGATCAATGCTCTGCTAATGGGGAGGATTGTATTAATCAGAATGGACACATTTGAGCCTGTTTGTTCCTGCTTGTCCAGCTTTTCAATAACTGAGTGAAGGCATTATTTATTTAATTAGATTTATTTAATTAGGTTTGATCTAAAATAAGTTTTTTACTTCCCAGGTCCCTGCTGGCGAAGAAAGAGCTTGGCAGAAAGCTGGCTCCAAGTTGAATGAAGAGATCTCTAGTGATTCTGAACCAGATGTGTAAGGATATGCCAAATTGCCTTGGTATTTTTTTTTCTCTAATTAGGAAGATCATATCATAAACATTAAGAATTTGCACAGGAATTTCCTATGGAGATGGTTGCATGAAGCTGATAATGAGAGAAACGCTCTATGAGACCTCATGATGATATAACAAGTGGTGGATTCCTGAAGTATAATTCTTTGTGGCATCCAATGACTCCAAAAGTCTGTACTTTAGGAATCCCATGGGATATAACATTGAATAAGGTATCACAAATTTGCATTAGGGATTGGGACAAAGTATTGAAGTATTTTCTTTGAGGGAATTGGACAGTAATTTTCTCTTGTTGATGGATAATTCTTGAGGTGATATAAAGTATTTCTGTGTAAATTGTTTCTTTCCCATCTGTAGCCCAGCAAATAAAAATGAAGCAGAAGAAGAAATTGAAGAGACACCACAAGAGAAGAAACTGAGATTAGCGAAACTATATTTGGAGCAGCTTCGCCAACAAGGTGAGGAGAAGCTAGATTTGATTTAATTGGACTGTTAAACAATCAGATTAAAATTCTTAGTATATGAAATGAAACCAGTCTTTCTAACTATGTACCTATTTATATGTTAAATTTATATAGCCTATCATGACTTTGGGCAGCTTACAAAGTTAAACACAATAAAAAAATGCAACAAAAATAACCCCCAAAACAATATCATTAAAAACAGTAAGATTATTAAAAACATAATTGGTAGGAGAGCATCATTCATTTTCCTAAATGTGCAACTTATTAGCAAGTTCTCCACAAATGTCACCAGATCCCCAGGCCAGGTGGCAAAGCCATATCTTCAAAAGGCCAGATTGATCTTACCACTGAGGAGAGGATGTTCAAAAAGATGGGCACTTCAGCAGAAAAGACTCTCCTCCTGGCCCCATCACATGACTTTGGACCCATCATGTGACCTTTCTGATGGGATGGATAGCTATGATTGGGTTGGGGTGGTCCCTAAAATACCCCAGCTCCATGCCATGTAGGGCTTTGTAAGCCCTCATCTGCACCTTGACACAAACTGGTAGCTGATGCAGTTTACGGAGCAGAAGTGTAACTTGCACTGCTGTAGATGTGTGCATGGCTGCCGACACTGCTGCATTTTATACCGTTGGAGCTTCCAGATGCTGTTCAAGGGCACATCCTTATAGACTGCATTATAGGTAAACAATTTACATGAGGAAATAGAAGGAGAACTCATCAAATTTGCAAACGACACTAAGCTGGCAGGGATAGCCAAGATAATAGGCTCAAGATCCAGATTTTGTTGGATAGGGCCCAGTGATCAAGTTGCTCAAGATCCAGATGGATCTTGAGAGACTTGATCACTGGGCCCTATCCAACAAAATGAAATTCAGTGTAGAGAATGGTTGCGGGAATTGGGTATAGCAAGTCTAGTGAAAAGAAGGACTAGTGGATGACATGATATCAATGTTCCAATATTTGAGGGGCTGCCACAAAGAATAGGAGGTCAACGTGTTTTCCAAAGCACCAGAAGGCAAGACAAGAAATGATGGGAACTAATCAAGGAGAGAATCAACCTAGAACTAAGGAGAAATTTCCTAACACTGAGGACATTAACCAGTGGAACAGCTTGCCTTGGAAAGTTGAGGGTGCTCCATCACTGGAGGGCTTTAAGAAGAGACTAGATAGCAACTTGTCTGAAATGCTATGGGGTCTCCTGCTGGAGCAGGGGGTTGTACTAGAAGACCTCCAAGATCCTGTCCAACTCTGTTATTAGGGCATGAGCACTGGGCCTCCTGGTCCAGAAATAGGTACAACTGGCACACAACATGAAATTGCACAAAAGTCAACCTATCTATGATTGCCACTTGCTCATTTGAGCAGGAGTTGTGAGTACAAAAGGACTTCCAGATGGTACATTGAGTTTGCCTGGGGTAATGTCACCCATCCAGAATTAAAGATGGTAAATTTCCAGATCCTTGTAGTCCCAAGACCTGAAACCACTCAGTTTTGCCAGGGTTAAATTGAGTCTGTTTTTTCCCTATGTATAATTAATAGTAGATTAATTATAATAGCTACTTAGCCTGTTATGAACTTTTATTTTCTTATTTAACTTTTCAACTGTTTGAAAAGTTCAGTCTCAACAAAGATGGCTGGGAATTTATCTTGAGAAGTGTGGAGATTTTAAAAATCTATTCCTTTGTGTAAAGAAGGCATATAAATAGTTTCCCTAAATTTATGAACTAGGAAATTTAATATATGTTTTTTAAACCAATTTCTCAACTGTTTTAGAAGATGATTTAACTTATTGGAGATACCAAAATACTTTTTGATGAAGAACCCTCATCCTACTGGGTAACTTGGTTTTGGTCGTTCGTTTTACTGATGGATCTTCAGGATTTGAAATTTATTTCATATTATGTTTTTTGGTTAAGTAAACATAGCTGTCTTATTTTTCCCTCTGGCAGAAGAAGAAAAGGCTGAACAAGAGGCTTTTGAGAAAGACCTGGTTGCTGGCCGATTAAAGGAAGATGTGGTGAGTAGGACATGAGGTAGTAGACTGGGAAAAAAATGGTGCCTCTACCCAGTGCTTTTTTTGTAAAAAAAAAAAAAAAAAAAACCGGAACTCACACACGTCATACAACCTGCCTTGCCTACCCTACAAGGTTTACCTTTGTAGTTGAAAAAAAAAACCCTTCAATTTTTAGTGTATCTAAAAGACTAGGATTTTGTTCAAGGTAAGTTAATACTATTAATGTTACCATGCACTGTGTGGCTTTAAATTACAAGAAGGCATTTTATTAATCTTTTGGGACATTTACCACTGGCATTCTCATTTAGTTTAATGAGTGGAAATGTCAGCTTTCTATGTAGAATGAAATTGGCCCAATAAAACAAAATTTGGTTGCTTGTAAAAGATTGAATTATTTTTAAGAAGTTGACTTGAAACAAATTAAACTTGAAACTTTGTCAGTGAACAGATTACTTTTAATTTACCTTTAAGTTAAACCCAATTTAATAGATAGATCTGATTAAACCTCATACTGTAGGTCTATCTTTACATCTGACCAATACATAATTAATATATATTATTATTAATAATAATAATGCCCCCAAATCACAAGACATTGGCTTTATTCTTATTCCCCTCTGCAGTTTGAATATAAAGTATAAAAAACTAAAAAGAGATTTTCGTAGACATCCCAGCCTTTGAACTACCCAAGGAACTGAAACAGCAAAATTTCTCTGTTGGGCAAGTTTCCATGCCAGCTGCCTTTCTTTCCTCTCGCTTTGCCTCTTTTTAACCTCACATACACTTCTGTAAGGGAAGGCAAAAGGCTCACTCACCTTCTCGTGAAAGATGGCCTCCATGTTTATGTGTCTCCCACCGCCACCATCGACTTCCACACCACATGGTCCGACCCAGCCAATCAAGCCACGCTCTGGCTGTGGTGCTCCGGCGCCTCATGGCTCCTCCTAGAGGAGGCAGACAGTGCCGGAGGGGACCCCACTCACACTGTACCACCAGCGGGGCATTTTCAAAAGCAAACGAGGATAGGAAGGGCAACAATAGGAAAAAAAACGCAACTCTGGAAAATCCATTGAAAAAAGGTGTTGGAATTCCATTCCGGTGCATTCTATGACAAAAAAAGCCCTGCCTCTACCTATCCCGAATTGGGCATTAGAAAGCTTAAAGAGCCCCACCTTCCTCATGAAGTAAATGGTATCTTCTCACTGGAAAGTAGTGAAATTCATTGCTCTCCATGCTTCAGGCCTTGCTAGGCTCAATTCTAGTGGAGTTTGGGTATAGCTTTTATAAATCTCTCCTACATAGAGAAAGAGATTAATAATATGCAAAACACAAGCATGCCTGTTTGTTTAACCTTGGTCCATGTTTAAGTGGCAAAAAGAGTAGCTATGAGGGCTTTTAGATATAAAGTCAGTGGTTTGGCAGAAATTGTACAGTCAGAGTGATATGCACAGTTTCCTTCCTCTTGTGAATTAAGCATCTCTTCTCAATTCAGTCTTTGTTTAAAGATAATAGTTATTTATCTGGCATTTGTAATCTGATAACTTGTAGTATGATTTCTTTTTTACATCTACAATCATCTTTGTACTCATTCTGGAGAAAATTCAGGCTGAAAAAAGCTGAGTAATTTTGGAGAAGTGATTTTTTCATCTAATCCTTGGAAACCATTTCCTGCCTTGCTTCCTTTCAGCCATAAGCCAATAAGGTAGTAATGAGTCTGATACTCAGTGTCAGTTTGGTAGAAGTATGAGTTGAAGCTCTTAAACGTGAGTATCTCAGAAATCGCCATTTAGTCACTGATTCTTTTGTCAAAACTGAAAGGAGATTGTAATCACTCTTGCAAATCCATATAGAAGAATTTAAGGTCCTTTTTTAAAAAAAGGAAAATAACCCAATTTAATATTTAGCTATAGCTGGGTATAAGAATGTGATCCATGTACCTTTTCCTAATTTATATATTTTGTGAAGTAGGAAGCAAGAGTCAATCTAATTCTATTTTATTTGTCCCCCATAGCTTGAACAGAAAGGAAAATTGCAGCGACAAATTGCCAGCAGTGTAAGTAGAAACTTTTTTTTTCCACAGTTGTGCAGACTTTCAAAGCACCTATTACTCTTCCTCGAACTACAGGTGGTGTGGCACTGCCAACATATCAGTTTATGGAGCCTTTTATTATTTGAGATTGTTGCAGGATTTTGCTGGTTTTTATATGTTCTTGCCCTACGGACAAAATTATTTATTATATTTAAAACATTTATTCTTATGCCCAACTCTGGACAGCTAACATTTAATTAAACGCCACAAACAAAAGCAAAAAAACCCATTGTGTCCGAGGCCATTCATATGCTTATGTAGTAATTATTTTTTAAAGATGCGCTCATCTAATTCTCTGGGACAATCCCTGAGTCTTCAATGCCATAGCAAATCTTCAGTGCCTGCCAAATCTTGAATGCCTGGCAAGATAAAAGCCATCTAGATCTTGAAGGTTATGCCATTGCACAAAACGGGCCACAATAGGGGAGCACAACTGTGTAATGCAAGGGACAAAGATGCCCACCCTATTGGATATGGTGGGGCAGAGTGAAATAACAGAAGAGAGATCCTACAGATAATCTGGCTATCTGCCATGAAGGTCTTTAGGTGGTAATCAACATCTTGAATTGCCTCCGTAATTTCATGGAATGGAATGGAATAGAATATTATAGAATTATAGAATTAATTATAGAATTATAGATTGTGTGATTGGCTACACAAGAAATTTGTCTCTGGTGCATAAGCTCTCAGTGTACATACAAGCAACAAGTGATAAATCATGATCATAATCATAAAATATATCATCATAAGATACAACACTCAGTGATTGTCATAGGATACTAAATAAGCAATCAACAT